AAAGGTTGTGTAACAGGGTACGCAAGCCTAAAATATCGCTGTCTGGCCGGTTTGCTGACCCCTGCCCTTGAGGGGTATCCTGACAGGTTTGCCCACCTGCGGGCACCCTCGTCCAGCACATTGTCGGAAACCACAAGATATTTGAGTGACACTGGAGTGCTGGACGGGAAGCCTCTCTGCCTTAGGGACCCCGAGACTGGCAGCCTGAGAGCACGCGGTTGCATTCATCAGAGCAAGCTGAGCCCCGGTGTCAAGCATCTTAGGGCCGGTCACACTGCAACGTCTGCTTAGAGGGTAGATCTCACCACAATAAAAGACAATCCTTCCTGGAAGGATAAAATATATTCATTCAGGGGCGCCTGGCTGGCTCAGTAGGTAGAGCAGGCAACTCTTGATCTCAGCGTCGTGAGTTCAAGCCCACCTTGGAGTCTACTTTAAAAAAAAAAAATAGATATTTTTTTTTCATTCAACAGAGATTGACCCAAGCAGGGAAGTTTTGAGAGGAGAGAAGATTCAGGAGCAGGGTCCTTAACTGGGAAAGTTACCAATAAACAGATAAGGAATAGATACCAGATATGAAGATTATGAAGATTCTAGGTTGTCCGAAGAGGAAATGTCTGTAAGAAAATGTGAAATACCAAGACTGTCTTCTTACTGTGTAATTTGGATGAGATATAAATAAATCTATGTGCCATTACTTAAGTTTTGATGGACCAGTTGGACATCATGGGTCACAGTTTTCTGGGAGCCATTAGCCAAGGATGGCCACATTCTCTCAACAGAAGGCCCCCTTTCCCCGTGTCCCAGCTCTGCTGTCTTCTCCCTGGAAGTCTTGGGCTGAATGACTCGGTCCCTCCGAGAAGCCATTGCCAATAACCCCTGTCAGCAGTCATTAATAATTAACAGTATATTGCGATTCCTTTACCTGCCTCTTCATCAAGAAAGGAAGTGCCTAAGGGGTAGGAAATGTATCTCATTCACCTTTGTTTGCCTTTGGTCCTGCCTTGGGACCCAGAGGGTTTGTTGAATGAGTCTATGAAGGAATAAGTGTTGACATGCTGAATTTGTTTTTATAACATTACATAAATAGAGGAGAAATAAATAAGTGTAACTTGCTACCAAAAAAGAAGGGAGGGAGGGACAGAGGGAAGGATGGAGGGGTGGATGGATGGAGGGGTGGATGGATGGAGGGATGGTGGGAGGGAGGGAGGGAGGGATGGAGGGAAGGATGGATGGAGGGAGGGATGGATGGATGGATAGAGGGATGGATGGAGGGGTGGGTAGGTGGAGGAGTGGATGGATGGAGGGGTATAGGGAGGGTGGGGCAAAGTCCAGAGGGGAGCTGGTGAGTGGACTCCTGTCCAGGATGTGAGTGTGGAGCGGGAGAGGCATGAGGAGGGACCACACAACCTCCTGAGGAACCATGTTTTGTTGTTCAGGGGTATCCTCGAGTCACGTTTAAGGTGTGCAGGGGGAGTGGGCTGCTCCAGGATTTCCCTATTTCCTGCCTCTGATGTTTATGGCTCTTTCCTTCTTCCCTTTCAGCTAGTGGAGCATTACTCTTACAAACCAGACGGGCTATTAAGAGTTCTTACAGTTCCATGCCAGAAAATTGGTGGGCAGACAGGTGAGTTCCTGACCTTGGAGCCTCTGTCTCTGGGATCTTGACAATAATCAGCCTGGCTTTACAGTCAGCCTGTCCCAGATCCGGGTGGGATGAGGGCTTGTTTTTACCGGTTGATGAAAGATGACGTCGGGTCACTCCAGTTAATCACACTGTAGCTGATAGCTTTAACTGGAGAAAGCGGGTTAGCTCTAATTGCCCGGGTGAGGACGCTGAGTGGAGGAGGAGAAACTGCTTCTTGGGCAGGCTAGCTGACGGTCCTGCTGAGTGATCTGCACCCGGGCAGGGAGCTGCTGCGTGTTGGGGATTTAGCCATGACTGTCCACGCTCTTTCCACCCAGGAAACATCAACTTTGGAGCCCGCGCGCCCCTTCCAGGGGGCCATCCTGCGGTAAGTTACGAGAGCTGGGCCCGCGGTGGAGCGGATGCATGCTAGAGCCAGGAAATCATGGGTTAGCGCACAGGAGAGCAATGATTGTTGTTCCTGCCACCCTTGATAACCTGGGGCCGGGGAGCGTCAGCTAGAATCAGCCTACTTTCAGTTCCAGGCCAGCCGAGTTCATTTCTTCATAGGTTAGACAGGGACACCCGGTGTTAAATCAGAAATATGCCTCCTGGCGGCTTTGGGAAATGTGCAGGATCCAGAAGACCGTGCACATGGTCCCTGGAGTGAGTCTGCTGTGCGAGATGTCTCACTGAGCTTGTCCGCCCAGCTCTTTTGGTTAGATCATCGTTAACAGAAGCATCGACCTCTCCGGAGAGTGGGTTTGACGGTAGCTTAGCAGGGGAGGCTTGGTTGGGGGTGGGATGCTCAGCAGCATCAGATGAGAGAAGCCTCTAGAGAAGGCCAGAACGCACCTCTCCCTCTGCGTCAATGGGAGGTGAGAATGTGACCTGTCCCCACGTCTCCATGTGGGCTTGCCCAACACACGCCCCCCTCTCTCCCCCCACCCCAAGCCAACAACCAGATTTATACTCAGAGAAGGAATTGGGTCCTGCTCCTTTTTGGGGACCTCGGTGTGGACCTTTGGTGTCTTTTAATGCCATCTATAAAGTATAAAAATCCCCCTATCGTGAGCTGTGTGCTCCACGTCTCCCTATTTGCCTATTAACCCTTAAAAAACAGAATCAGCAGAAATCGGGATGTCCGTTCTGCCCACAATAAGGATGGCTGACCGCTCACAAGCCGCACCCAGATTGAAGCAGGGAACCTCTCTGGGGGCAGCACCTGTCACCAGATTGGGGGTGGGGGGGATCGGAATTTGCTAAAATACCAGTGAACTTCTGCATCAACGTCTAAAATAGAGCCCCTGTATGGAATCATTTTATTTTACCCTTCATGTGGCTCCTGGGCTGGCACGTCTAGATGCTCCATGCTCCATCTACCATACGTCACGGTAGATGCTCCATGAGACAGATCGATCTTCCTCCCAGATGGGTGAGGGCTGAGGGCTAAGAACTCTTACAAGAATATCAAGCCCTAGATGCAGCCGTGCATCACCCAGTAGCTTCAAGAAGTTAGATATTTTGGAAAATCTTTTTATTGACTGTCTCAATGCATACAGAAAAAAACACGCATGCCCTACGTGTCCAAATCAGTGAATTTCCACAAACCATGGAACCAGCCCCCTGAAGAAGTAACAAAATTGGGCACAGTCAGACTTACTTCTAGTTTCTTTAGAATGATTTGTCGTGTTTGTGATTTAGTAACCTATATGAGACGGGGGCTACTTAATGTGACAGCCCTAATTCTATAGCTTTCCATGGAAACTATTAACCAAAGTATTTTTCCAGATCCTTCTGCTCAGGTGGCAGGCTTATCCTGAAGCATCCTTAATGACCAAGTGTGGCCGGCAGCCAGTCTCTGCAGCAGAGTGTGGAGGGGGTTGGCAGTTAATCACAAAGTGATACCACAAAATTAAATAGCATGTCATGTGTTTGCTTTCTGAGATACTGACTCTTCCCTCTTTGCCGTTACGGTTTCTAGATGTGGTCAGCGGGTGGAATAATCTCCAGAATCAAATCATACTCCTTCCCAAAGCCGGGCCACAGAAAGGTGCTAATGCGTCCCCTGCTTCCTGTCCTGCACGCGGCGCCTGCGCTCCGGCCCCGGCTGCCCTCCGTGCGCGCTCCCCGCCCCATCCAGCCGCTGTGCTCTCTCGCTGCCGTGTGTGGCCCCGGGTGGGCAGCCCGCGTCCGGTGCTCGCCGCGCTTTCCGTGTGGGTCCTGGTCCCTGCCGCCCGGTCCACCCCCGCCAGCGTGCTCTCCCTGCTCGGTGTGCGCTTGAACGTCCCAGGGTCGGCGCGGGAGGCGGGAGCCTCGTGTCGGAGAACCTTCTCCGAGCAAGCCAAGTGATCTGTTGTCAAAATCACAAGTTGCAGAGCAGGGGGGTCGATTATATAAAGTACGTGCTGATGGAAAGGGTGCCGGGGTTTTGTGGGGGCTGCACAGGGAGCGTCTCAGGCCGTTTATTGCGTGGATGCCAAGGGCCACAACACCTGCATCGAGGCTGTAGATTTCCAACACGGAACTTGACTATAACGCACAAAAAGACAAGCATGGAATTGGAGGATTAGAAGCGCCCTGTTTCTTTCCGAGGCAGTTAAGGTTGACCTGGGATTCGTTTCTGTATTAGGCTGTGTGATTGAGTTGTGAGGGAAAAAGCGAAGTTTTTTTAAATGATTTATAATGAATCATCTCCGTCTATATATATATATGTGTGTGTGTGCATATATATATAATATGTATGGGTTACTATTTTTTCCTTTGTACTTTTTCCATTGGTGGTAGAAAGTGGATTTTTTTGTTAATAATTCTTTCCATTTTCATACCAATTGATATTTTTTTTCCAACATTTCAACCATACAGTTGGGCATCAACTGATGAAGCAAGTTGCTGAAAGTACTTGCTAGGAACAACAGAAAGGAAAAGCATAAGATCCCCAAGATTTTATTTAGGAAGAATTTTCCAGGTGGGCAGTCGTACTCTGTGTGCTCCCAGTCTCGTTGTTGATAGATCAGAGAGGAGAGTTGAATGTGATGGTCGAGGGGCAAGTTGTCTGACGAACGGAGCGGCTGTCTGTCTGACTGTCACGTGGCCAGGCGGTGTGGGCCAGCTCGTGGAACCACAGCTAGGACGTGACAGTGCTTTGGCGGAACCGCAGTCAGGGCAGGCGTGTTAGGAGTCGGGGACCAGGTTGTCAGGGTGACACATTCTCTGTGTCCGGTGCCCCTTTGTCCCACGCTTGGTGTGTGCTTGAAGCCACCGGGCCCAGTAGGTGATTGAGGCTGTGGACCAGAAGAGGTCAACACCTGCTGTGCTCCGAGGTAAAACCCTCCGGCTGCCCCCTTCCGGCCCATGTGGCCCAGGACCCCCGTCGGCTTGCGCCCCTTCTCTTGGGAGAGGGCTCCGTGTGGCCGCCCGGACGGCATCTAACAGGCCGGAGGTAGCCTTCTGATTCAGGGTGCATTTTAATCAAGAATCATCTTTTCGAGGCTGTAATCACAAATTTAGTTCAAATTAGTGACTTCGATACCACGGTTTGGTGGTCAAACACAAGATGCAAGAGTGTTTAATCGAATGTTGCATAGACAGTGCTTCGTAGAACAGCTCAGGGCAGGACACGTGGCCTCCACAGTGCCCGGAACCCCTTACTCGCCGGCTTCCGTGGCCCCTCTGTGTTCAGGGCCTGTGTGGCAGCCGTGGAAGAAGCCCTGTGGACGTGGGCCACACCGCCGGTTGCCACCACTTGTCTATTCATTACTCCCTTTATGATGTGCCGACACACAGCCCCCTGTCCAGGTGCGGTCCCAGAGATGGGCGGTCTCACTGTGCACGGACCACATGCCGTGCGTGTCTTAGTCCTCTGGCTCTGAGTGCAGCATTCAGGGACCCTTCACGGGAGCATGAGCACTTAGAGGTTTGTGTGTAAGACAGATAAACACAACCATGTATCTAGGTACATATATTCACACACACACATTTATATACACACACATCTTAACATGCATGCACCCCCCCACTCACAAACCGGTTTATCACAAGGACTTGCCTTACACAATGATAGGGACTGACTAAGCAAATCCCATAGCTGTAGGGCAGACCGTCAGGAAGGGTAGATCAGGAGCAGGGTGGAACCCCTCGGGCATGGCTGAAGTTGTCATCCACAGCCAGGGGTCAATACGCCCTCCGCCTTTCTCTGTTTCTCTCTCAGGAAAGCTACAGCTCTCCCCAGAGGACTCTCAACTGATTAAGCCAGGCCCACCCAGGGTAATCTCCCTAATCTAAATCAGCTAATTAGGGATTTTAGTTATATCTGCGGAATCCCTCCATGGCAGTAGCAAAATGACAATTTGATTTGATCATGGAGGACTGGAGCTCAGACTAACCATGTGGACACATCAAAAAGCCAGGAAACAGTAACCCAGCCTAGTGAGGAGACAAGACTCACCGCCACCCCGTCGCCGTCCCAGGCAGGCTGAAGCAGGCTCACGTCACTCGCAGTAACTAAGGAAATATACAGAAAAGATGCAGTAGATCTTTGTATTAAAGGAGAGCATGTCTCTTTCTTACACTATCAATATATCAGTAAAACTACCTAAAATATCAGTAAGACTACCTAAAAATAAAGAACTATCATCAAAGGAAATAACAAACTGGGAATAAGTATTGGTCCCGATGATACACAGGCAAGGTTAAGATCTTTGATATATAAAGAAATTCTGTAAGTCCATAAAAGTTTTAACTAACAGGCAAATGGCAGAGGATGTCATTAGGTAGTTTGTAGTAAAGCAGATATAGATAGGAAAAACGTAGGAAAACATAAAAATAGGAAAAGCTGTTCCATTTCATAATAAGAGAAATGCAAGTGAAAACTAGGTGCCCTGTTACCTCCACCTGTGAAATGAACCCAAGTAAAAAGCAACAGGATGTGCAGCGAGGGTGTGGTGAGTAAGCCCTCCCCCACTTTGCTGGAGAAGTGTGAGATGATGCAGCCTCCGAAGAAGGCAAGTTCACAACATCCATCCAAAGTAAAACCACATATGGCTGCTCAACTGCAATTTCATTTCTAGGTATGTATTATTCTTGCATTTGTGTGTAACCATGTATCCATGAAAGTGTTTATTCCAGCATTGTGTAACTGACAAAGTCTGGAAACAAATTAAAAGTCTGTCATTGGGAAGTAAACCAGTTACAATAAAATTCATACCGTGAGAGGCAGCTGAGGTCTAGAATTATTTCCAAATTCCAGTGTTAATTACAAACAACCGATATGTGCTGATAGAATGTCAAATATTCTGGAAGAAATACAGAAACACAGCGGTAACAGTAGTGACTGTGAGAGCACGCAATAGGAGTGTCAAGGAGACTTACACTCTACCGTAAACCCCGTTGTGCCTTTGTAAATTCATACCTCTCGAATTTAATCAATTTTTTAAAAAGATAATTAAATATTAGAAAGTAATGAATCTGATTAATACTGTGAAAATACTTTTCTGGCAAAAAAAAAGGCTGTTGCCTATTTAAATTTATAACAACTTTGAAATATGCATTGAATTTTCCTAGATGCCAAAAATATTCATAAAGAAGGATTGTGTGATTTAAGTTATGGATTAAATGTATTTTAACTGCTCATCAGAAATATTTTAGGAGAGCTAGTGTTTATGTTTTCGCAAATAGAGGAGGAATTTTCTATTAATTAAACAGTCATGAGAAAGCACTTACAGGAATTATGTCAGCTATCCCATCTGTTTAGATAAGGTGCAAATGACTTTCTTGAGTTTGTTAATTTGATCAGTATACGTGGTTGTTTTTCATAATTCGGGCCCAAAAAGGACATGTCAGAACTTGAATTAATTCTAGCGTGTGGGTAGTTACTGAAAAGTATGTTTTGACTTGAAGAGGACTGTTAATTAGATATTAGAGATTTCCTAATAAAAACTTAAGGACAGGTCTATTTTAAATCTTTTCCTTAGAGACTGGGAATACTTCCGTCCTTAAAAATACAAGTGAAGTCAAGTAACCAATGTAAATAATGATCCACCCTCTTCCCTGCCCTCCGTAATAAAAACTTAAGGGGCGGGTCTATTTTAAAGTTTTCTTTCGATGTTAGTCCTTAAAAATATAAATGAAATTAACTAACGAGTGTCTGTGGGATCCACCCTCTCCCCTCCCCTCCCAACACTTACTTTAAAGGCTGGACGTCCTTAAATGAACGAAGTCCCTCCCAGTCCTAGAACGGGAGCGTCTGTCTTGCTCCTTCAAGTACGGAAACCTTTGCTTCATGTGAATAAGAGCGTCCTTATAGGAGCGTCCACCTCCTGTTTCAGAGGCACGCTCCCTAAAACACTACACAACATTTACCCGTAGCTCAGTGGTGGAAATGTGTTCCAGAATTTCAAATTCAGACCCATTTCTCATGCTGTATTCCAACCCCTGCACTGATGATTGGATTATTTGAAGGCTTATGTGTAAATACACAGTTGGCTAGGGTTGCGCTGGAAGAGCGAGAGAAGGAGAACAGTTGTGAGGTCACCGTCAGGTGGTGACGCCGAGGCACCAGAACAGACCCCGGAGAAAACGTGTTGCCCTGTCATCGTCCGGGGCCACGCTGCAGCCCTCCGCTCCTTAGGTCGGGACGATTGATGGTGGACGTCAGGTGTTGGTTTGAGTGGACCGGAAGCAGACGTGGTCTCATTCCGTGCCCTGGCCGAGGAGGGTCTGCCCTGGGCTGTGGGGTCTTGTTCCCCCTTGGGACCACAGCCACTCTTGCAGAGACCAGGGCCGTGCCTGAAATGGCAGCCCGCGGTCTGAAGCCTGCGGGCTCTCTTTGGCACTGCAGCTGTAACATGTACATGGTCCTCTTTCCTGCTGCTCTCCCTGATGGGGAAAGGTCTGTCCAAAAGCCTAAAAGCGAAGGTCTAGAAATGGATGTTAGGACACAGCACGATGCTCCCAGATCACCAGGAGAACGATACCTGTGTACCTTGTTCACTTCTGCATCCCCCCCTCAATAGGCACCCAGCAGATAGCTGTCGAACACATTTCAGTTTGCAGTTAAGCCTGGCCGGTAAGAGATCAGGGATCATAATTTAAGACCCAGTTTGGTCTTATCTTTAATTACTGTGGAGTGACCTATTTTTACCTCCATTTATAAAATTAACGATCACCCCTTGTTCTCTGGGAGGGACAACACGAAGGTCGCTAGTGCCATCTAGTGGTAGCCCGCAGGTTTGAATAGCCGCAAAAATGGGAGAAAAAAATGCACCTGCTCACATTCCATTGACTCCTTATGCTCTATGCGGAAAAGGTGATGGTATTCATTGGGGCAGAATAAATCATCAAATATAAAGCAGAAAGAATAATGACAGATGACAGAATAGGCCAGCAATGTGTTTTTCATTAAATTCTAACGCCAATCAGTACGTTTATAATTTTGCATCATTCTTTACAAAGTCTTTGAATTCTTTTCTGCTGAGCATTCGAACCCAGAGGGTGTTTGGTGTCGTTCTACTCAGCGGCACACCCACCAAACACTTTAGGAAAGATGGAATTGTGTTTTGTACTTTACCTTCATCATAACGTCACCACCACCCTGTTAATTGACGCACCAGAAAATCTCCCATTTCTCCCAAAGAACATTCTCCCGAGTGTCCTGCCAGCTTCTATCCCAGTGGGGCGACCCAGGGGCCCGGGCAGGGAGTGGATGTGGTTGCTGAGGGACTCGCGGGGCCCCAGCCAGGCTGGGAAGGCTCGTAAGGTCACGGGGTCTGCGTGACCTTCCAAGGGAGACCCCAGCCCGTTTCCTGATGCATAGCCAAGGCCGGCGAGGGGTGAGCGCCACTCTGCCCATCAGAGTCTGCTCTGCTCTGTCCAGGGCTTTAGGCTCAGTGTGTCTAGCACCACCAGCTCTCACTCACTCTTGTCACTCATTTGTACACTCCCACCTCTGCTTTAGAAGTCTTCCCCACAGGCTTCCAATGGCAGGTCATTGCATTCTGGCTTAACCTGTGAAGTCCTGGGGCTCGGGAGAGCATTCGCTCAGGGCGGAGCAGTCATGGCCCCGGGATAGCCTGTCCTCGGTGGGCAGAGGGCAGGGCTCAGGGCCAGGAGAAGGAGTGCGGGCGGCTCTCCATATCTGTGATGGGCGGTCCTGGCGTCTTGAAGTCGTGTCTTTGGATCTCAGAGTTTCCTGCCTCCAGGGAAGATCAGAGACGTTGAAATGATTGTATATATGAACCTAAAAGAGGCTTTTTTTTTTTTAATTGAATACTATTTCCACCTTGGAGTTTGACTGCAGCTGAGCAGAGGGTTGATGGGAGGCCTTGGGGATTCCCAGTCTCTCCGAGGATAGTTCTATCGAGACAGGGCAATTATCTTCTAAATGAGAAGTGGACTCACAGGACATCCAACCGCCCTGTAATCACAGGCCAGTTTTTAAAAAGAGGTGGTGGATCGTCATTTGGGATTATCCACGCCTATTTCCCTCCATTAGGGTAAAGCCTGGAGAGATCACTCATTTCTAAACCACACTGACTTACACTTCCCATCTCCCAGTTTTAAGACACTATCCCCATTCATTCATTCATTCATTCACATTCATTCATTCATTCATTCACTCGTTGGTGTGTGTTTGGTACATTTTTTTTTTGAGCTCCAGCGGCGGACAAGGCAATGTTCAGACGCAGTGAGGGGCCTTACGCTGTTTTTACTCGTGATACGTCCCAGCGCTTCCCGTGGAGTGTGGTAGGAATGCGGTAGGAACGCCGAGAGAGGCGGAGAACGTGGGGCGAGCACCCTCCACTGACACGGGAGAGTGGGCATCCCGTAGCCCGGTCCCTCGGGCCTTTGTGCTGTGGGCAGCAGCTTGGTGGCGCTCGGCAGATGCCGTGAAGGAGGTCCAGGTTTTGGAGACAGGTGGTGGCCATGGTTCCTTGTGACTCCATTATCGTCTTTCTGGCTCCCGGGCCTGGGACGTCAGGCAGGCAGACGAGGACCCCGGGTGTGCCGCGAGATACGTCACCATGTACAGTGAAGCTTGATGTCTCTGTGTCTTTACGTGTCTCCAAACCCTGGCAGTATCTCGTGTCTTCGTGGCCAGTGTTTGGGCCCTGCTAAGGTAAACAGCTAGGTGACCCTCCTAGTGAACTACATCAAAAAGCAAACAAAAAAAAGGTTTGAATTGTGATTTTTTTCCCCACAAACCAAATGTAGTGCAATACCCTTGTGTTAAAAGGAGGGGGCAAAGGCGGGCCAGGAAGACTCAAGATAGAGACTTTCAAAAGGGAAAGGTTACAGGGATGTAAGGAGGAGATCCTTCCCCCACCCTGTTAATCCATCATGCAAATTAATGTAAATCAGATCAAGCATCAGGAAGATTGCTGCCCTCCGGCATCCTATCCCGTAGCTAGATCTCCATGGAAGGTCAGGTTCAGGACTTGGATAGACCCTGTGGAGTCAGGGAGTAGGGGAAGCAGCTGGTGGATACTGTGTTTCTTCTTACATAACTTTATATGACATTAAATTGAACAGAAAGGATGGATGGAGGAAAACGAATCCCAGGGGGCCGTGTGTAGGCAGAAATGGGGTTTGAAAGGGCCTGTGACCGGGGCCCCTCTGAGACTGTGCAGCCCCTTGAAACAGAGCTTCATGTAGCCCCCGTGGGGTCCAAGCAGTCGCCCGAAGAATGAGATAAGCCATGGTGTTTTTTTCTGTCTCTCTCCCTGACGCTTTCCCTTGTCTTCTCTGCATAAGTCGTAATGTGATTATTTGAAAACAAAAGTCATTGTGCAGATCAGCGCCACGGTGCGTCTGCGGAGGAAAGTAACCTGCTGTCCTCTGTGTACTTCAGTCCTCCTCGTCCACAGGGAGCCGGCCCGAGAACTCCGTGACCTTCAATCCTTACGAGTCAGACCGGGGGCCCTGGGCCACGGACAGAGGTGAGCCATGCGTGGTCACATCCCCGGCCATTCGCGGCACAGCAGTGCCCACAGCCCTCGACCAGACTTGCCATCAGCAGTGGGGCCTCGGCTGGACCTCCTTGGGTTCTCTGCGTGGCTCCAGGTTCTACTTGGTGCACTCGGTCTGTTTATTGCTACAAAAACGGCCCCCAAATGTAGCAGCTTCGGGCAGCAGTCATTCAGTTACGTCCTGCAGGTCAGGGGTCTGGGCCAGGCTGGGCGGTGGGGAGGCCGTGGGGAGGCTGGGGCACGGGGCTGACCGGCATCTCGGCCTCCACGCCGACGGGGCCCCTCCCTCGGTGTCTCCTCGAGGGCTGGCT